TTTTGTCGAAAAATGAGTGTGCGTAAAATTTCCCGTTTTTCCCTTAATTTTTAGTTTGTTTTTCTCGATTATTTAGAAAAGTATTAAGAATTTTTCACTTATAACCACCCAAAGTACCAACTAGATTCACTTTCTGATCGAACGAGGTACTGAAGTCAAAAATCGAAGCACTTTTACTGCCCAAAACGTGATGACAGACACACAAAAAAAAAAAAAAACACATATCATGGTAAAATCAATACATTCATCGCTCCACTTAGAATCTAATATACAATTATTATAAATATCTTACATATTTTTTTGAATATAATGTAATATAAATAAATCACTTATTAGTTTGTTAATTAAATAATCTTACTCTTAAAAGTGCAAAATCTCTTTAAAAAACCTATAAAATTAAAAAAAAATTCGAAATAACAATATGCTCGAGTAACATAAATAGTAAGTTTATTTAATGACTCTTCAATCTTTATAATGAATCAATTGCATAGGGCAACTAAATCTGGTTTGAAGAACAAAAGACTTGTTAAATATTAAAAGTGGTTGTTATATTATGTTTTCAATCCGATATTAAACTATAATTTAAGAATACAAATAACACATAATATATCAACATTTTGATTGTTTTAATCATGTAGAATATCATAGAAATTAATTAATAATTACAAAACTTACATAAACAAAAATCTAAAAATAAAATAATACATTTGTATTAGCCAATATTATATTATTTATTTTCTAAGAATTACTACTATTTAATAATTATTACATACTAAAAAACTATTAATTTAAATTATCAGTTAGATCACTTTGTATACGGTATTCTACTTTTTAAAAACTATAGTATAATATTTCATCTGCATAATGTACCGGAATTAGTTTATAATATAAATGTGATGTACAGAACATTTTATATGTTTCCTCTAAAATTAATGAAATGTCTGTTTTTTAAAAAAAAATCCGTAAATATAAAATTTTTACAATTGTATTATATTCTATACAAATAAAATATAATTATGGCATACATTTTATTTTTATTTAAGGTTATTATAGTATAGTTTTGTTTCATTTCTGTTTATAAATTAGTTTAGAAAATTTGCATTGCAATGCGGATAAACATAAAAACAATCAAAAATAATCAAAATAAAATCATTATATTGTATCAAAAAATAATCCATACATTGTCCGCACGTCACATCACCTGAAGTAGGTGGTATAGTAACTGAAATTGCAATAACTATAACTGTGATCGTTATTAAACTGTGCATTTTGATTTAATATAAGAAAATAATGTGAACGTTTAACAATGATTAAAATAAAATAATGTTTCTGGATGTCTTTTATAAGCGACTTTCACCTAGTCCATACTCCGCCGCCCCCAGCATAAACGATATTATATTCACAATAAATAATTCATTTTTTGTTTGTCATAAAAAATAATGATATTTTTCTTTATTCGTTGGTTAATACTATATTTATTTTTTAACACCTGTGTAAATAAGGTGTATATTTCCTATAATACAATACATGTTACAACTTCTCACAACAACTAACAGCGGCGTGCAGTTTGAGAGTTGAGACTATTGAGATACACCTTTTATCGGTCGTACACGGCTGCCATTAATTTTATATCGTAATATACAGTCTTGCAAAAAATACTTTTGAAAAAGTATTAAAATACTAATACTAGTAATAAAATAAAATAGTATTAAGAATACTTTTAAAATACTATTATAAAATTGTATTTTATGAATACTCACTACAAATACAAGTATTTTTTTTTAAATTATATACTATATAACATACATGTTTTATTTATAGGTACTTATATTATGTTACTAATAATCAGAGATTTTAA